TTTCCCCCAATTTACACCTTAAATTACATGATTTGAACCTAAGAATTGAATAAATGATGATAGAAAATGAAGAAAACGAGTTAGATAATACTTACCCAAGAAGCTTTGGTGAAAAAGAGCTCTAAAGATCGCCTATGGGCTGTGGAGAAGATGAGTTCGTGTGTTTTGGGTGAAAAATCCCGTCAATATTCTGTTTTGGGCATTTAAAATCACTGGGCAAAAATTGCTCTATGCGATCGCGGAAAGGGCATTGCGATCGCATAGAGGAAAGGTTATTGGTCACCGCGATCGCGATGAGGCAAATGCGAACGCATAGAGGAAATATGACTGGGCAAGAAAAATGCTCTATGCGATCGCGAAGTGGACAATGCGATCGCATAGGGATGGGAAGGCTGGGCATTGCGATCGCACAAGGGCTGTTGCGATGGCATAGAACAAAACTAGGCTCTTGAAATTTTTACACTATGCGATCGCGGGGGAAGCTATGTGATCGCATAGAACAACGTACCAGATATCAGAACTGAGCATTTTCTGCAATTTTTACTAAGTTCAAAACACCCCGAACCACCTCCGAATCACTCCCGAGCCCTCGGGGCTCCTAACCAAACACACACACTAACTCAACAACCTCATACGAAATAAACCGAGCGATCAAATCGCCAAAACAACATCAAAATCAATGAATCAAACCTCAAAATCATCATTTTTCATTCTAATTTCATAAGCTTCAAATTTTAGATATCTAGGTCCGAAACACGTCAAATGACGTCCGATTTCAACCAAACTTCACAGAAAGCGCTTAAACCATATATAAGACTTGTACCGGGCGTTGGAACCAAAATACGAGCCCGATACCACAGTCTTTTAATCAATTTTCATTTTCATTTTCCTTAATAATTTCAGAAAAATAATTTCACAGAAAAATTCTTTTCTCGGGCTCTAGACCTCGGAATTCGACTCCGGGCATATGCCCGAGTCCCATATTTTTCTACGGACCCTCTGGGACTGTCAAATCACGGGTCCGGGTCCGTTTACCAAAAATGTTGACCAAAGTCAACTTTAATCAATTTAAAGCCACATTTTGAAATTTTTCATAGAATTTAACATATAAGCTTTTCGGCTACGCGCCCGGACTACGCACGCAAATCGAGGCAAGTAAAAAAATGAGGTTTTCAAGGCCTCGGAAGTGCGGAATGAATGAGGAAACAGGTGATGACTCTTTGGGTCGTCACACTCTCCTTCTTCAAGGAGTTTTATCTTTGGAACCGATTAGTCTATTACGCTTCAATAGCCTATGTCCATCGTGGACTTTATTCTATTTGGAGCATTAGTAGCTAAAATATGACATTTAGTTTTGGGTCAGCAAATGCGCATGGCAATATTTTGCAAATGAATTATCACATGAACTTCAAGTTCATATTTTCTTGTACGAGTATCTAAGTGTACTCATAATAATTCATTTCATATATTACTTTTTTCACCTGCTCATTTTCTCCCACTAATGTTGGGATCACCAACACATATCTCCAACCTTCTTTAGGGACCAATCTTTGTGCATTGTGGTGGCACAATTAAATCATATAGTACATCCATATTTCTAGATGAAAATATTTGGTTCCTGACCCTGAACCAATTGTGATGGGGAGAAATTATCATAACTTGTTGGCTAGATGCGTACAAGTGCTGTTGTATATTAAATAATACATCCCATACCAAATTTTTTTTTGTTATCATAACCAATGGTTTAGCTATAGTTGGAGGCATACAATTTCTACTAAACCAACTTGGATTTAAATTAGCATTATCATCACAATTTACATTCTGGAACTGTGCTCTAACAATTTGAGCAAGCAACCTTGCAAAAGCCAAATTGCAAGTTGATAACCAACGCACATGTGACCATACAATAGATGCATTAAAATCATATAATAGTAAATAGTCCACATGGAAGGTGATTGGGCCCATAAATATATCACCTTTTATTCGTTCCAGAAATCAAGGGATTCAATTCCAATCTTAGCTGATATATCATGAGAATAAGTAACACAAGAGAATTCTTGAAGAATCTTCTATTTCTTCAATATATGCCAACATGAATTCTCAATCAATTTTGCGCATCATAATTGAACCGGGATGGCCAACCGGTCATGCCAACTAATATTTATTTCAGTAAACATTTAATTTACTATGGCATGTGATTCCATTATCATGCCTATACATCTGTAGTACAAATAGAAAAAAATCAGGTAACCTTCATATTTACCTGGTATGTTATAGTAATATGAAGATAATCGATCTTCCTTTCATTTATAGTTTCAATATGCCAACCACTTTGGCTGATACATTTGAAACTCAAAAAGCTTCTTTTGAGACTTACTACAATATTAATGTTATGAACAAATTAGCTCTTTCGGAGCTCTTTATTGATTTTGTACTAAAAGATCTTTTATCACACAATCCATACGGGGAATGTCTCCTTCACGGAGAAAATCATATCATAATAATTATCATGGTCAAAATCATCATAAGCAAAATCTTTTCTTGCTTTAATTTTGCCTTTAATAACTTTTTATAAGGCATGGCAAAATATTTTCGGCGTACCACATGTACACGACCAATGACATATTCGTGTAACCACATAGTAATGTTCATGATCTTTCTTTCTCTCAAACCTCCCGTAGAGGTGAGTTGTAGTATTTATTCAACCATGCATAAATACATTCTTGTGCATAATTTGTATCACATATATATTTTCGCATTCTCTTCAGGAATGAGTCTGCATTTACAATGCTTATCACAAGTCGCATTCTTTCAAAAAAATGGACTATAATCGTCTGAGCGTGCCTCATATTTACAGACCATATTGATACACAATTCCTTCACCTTTGAAGGATTATTTTGAGAACCCTTATTGTTCTCCTTTTTATAATTACCATAATGATGACTATTATTATTTTGACTTTTGGCACGCCCACGTTCATTAGTCAATCACTTGTCTTCATTTAGATTTATTATGCACTGCTATCACATTCACTTCAAGAATGGAGCAAATCAAGTGGGACAAGTTTCATGCTTTTTCATGAAAAATACATTATTTTTCATTAGTCATCATTAGATCATCAATGTGGTTGGGACTCAAACCCAATGCCTTACCCATATAAAAACATGCTAGGCCATAATGAGTTGGGACTCAAATCCAACTATTATCATCATAGTGCATCAAGACTTGAACCCGATGTCTTAACCTTATGGTGCGCTGGGACTTGAACCCACCGTCTTGAAACCTCTTTCAAAATATTGCTATTTCAGGAGCAAATTCGAGATATATTACATTCACTTTAGAAAATACATGTGTAAATTGTAAGTCTATAACGTTGCAATCTTCTATACCTGCACTTAATATGTTAGTTGAAAGTACAAGAATAATTTAAAAATCATATACTGGTAGTAAAAGTAATGCTCCTATGTTCTGGAGGAGAAATTGCTCCTGAATATTTTTTTTAATTTCATTGGGAAAAGGAGAACTTAGCATTGTTTCTCAATCAGAATGCATGTTGTGCTAAAATCACATTAACAATTATACATTTGACATAATATATAGCTCGCATATAACTCATATATTTGGTTACTAGCACCATTTCTGAAAATGATAAGGGATTGCTTTTATGTAAGAACAATCGTACTTAAAAATGATCTAATTTGATTTATAGTTTATTACATGTTTATGCAAAAGTGACATTATTGCATGATTCAAAATATAATATTTTTGGGATGTAATCTTAGTCCAAAATCTTATGAATTTGAAGCAAGTAGAAACACTAACCAACACATAATAAGATGATACCTCAAAATTAAGTCTAGAAAATGTCGTCACCAAATCGGGACTGGCTTGAGATGCAATAGTAGTAATTATGCTAGTGCAGTATAAAAGTTTACCTTTCTCATCTTTATGCATATAAAACTAAATTAATGACAATAGTATCATCTTCCATAATTACCACAAGATCTCTGACGAGATGTAATCCAAAGTTTTCCTTGGCAAAAGAAGTTTTAGCTCTCGTGGAGAGCGTTTTTCCTTTTTAGGAAGTCTGAGAGGAAATAGCAATTCGTGCTGATAACGTGTTAAGAAACTAAATTAAAATAATAATATAAAACAAGAAAATAGACAAGAATGTAGGGAGCAAGAGAGGAGAGATTCTTATTTCTTCCATATATTCAAGTATATACAATGTGGTGCCAAAACCCCTATTTATAGGATTACATAGAGGCATACAAAAGAATGTCATAAACATGACATTAAACATTTGAGATCATGGGGAGGTTATGGAGGTGTGGGAGTTACAACTATAATGGTGAGAAGTAATGGGAGTTATCTACATAATGGAGAAGAGTAGTGGAGAAACTTCTTTAGAAGTTATAGACATCCACTAATATAATTATAATATTTCATAACAATTCTTAGATTCTTATATCAGTATAATAAGAACTATTCTTTTTAATTCCACAAATGCAATATGAAAAGGATAGAGTGTATCCATAACTCGCTCCTATCTTATGTGAGATAAAGAGGTTCTTTCGATAAATCTTTCGGCTCACAAATATTCTTATATTAGTAAAAATTAAAAAATTTACTTAATATTTAAAGAACTTAAATGTGTATAGATGAAAGAGGTATAAATAAAGCTAAGAATATAATAGGGGTAGTAAATATTCATAAAGTCAAATCTAACTTACCAGCAAAATTTTATAAAATTAGAATTTTAAATCAACAAGGAAATAGTATTAAGGCTTGAACTCCTATGTGCAGAGTAGTACTTTTGGGATCAACAATGTGTCCACTAGACAAATTCCAAGAGTAAATTGGATTAAAGTCCAGAATACTGCTGATGTGCAAATTATACTGTGGACATTTTTTCGAATAAAAAAATATAACAATAAATAATAAAAGAAAAGTAAAAAATAAAAAAACAAAGCAGCTGGAAAACTATAAGAGACATTCTTCTCCGGCAAAGTATCTTACCTTCCTCATCCACTTTTTTCATTTTCTCTCTCCTCACTACCCCACCCCTCCACACACATGGAACCCCCACTACTACCCGGCGGCCCACCGATTTCCACCACCGTTACAACGGCGTCGGTGGTCGGAACTATGACACAACCACCACCACCGACGTCATCGTCACATCTCAACAACTACGCCAACTCACTAGATTCCGCCTCCCCAAAGTCACGCAACTCCAACTCCTGGGACGACCAGCAACCGGCTAACGCCGGCGGCGGCGGTGGAAAGCTCCGCCTCATGTGCAGCTACGGTGGACACATAATCCCTCGCCCACACGATAAATCCCTCTGCTACATCGGCGGCGACACCCGGATCTTCGTCGCCGACCGCCGTACTTCTCTCTCCGACCTTTCCTCCCGCCTTTCCAAAACCCTCCTCTCCGGCCGCCCGTTTTGGCTTAAATACCAGCTCCCTAACGAAGACCTAGATTCCTTAATCTCCGTTTCCACCGACGAAGACCTCGAAAACATGATCGAAGAATACGACCGTGTCACAAAAACGTCACGTATCCGTGTTTTCCTCTTCACCAGTGAGTTCGATTCGGTATCTTCGATCGGGTCGCTTCTTGAAAGTTCTACAAAATCGGAGGATTGGTTCGTACATGCGTTGAATAATGGGGGAAATTCTGGTTCTATAACAACTACTAAGGTGTTTTCTGAATCTTCCTCAGTGAATTGTCTTCTAGGTCTTGATGATGATGTGAATTGTAACGTAAAGGGTGAAAAAAACGTGAAATTAAGTGCTCAAGATGTTCAGTCGGTGCCGGATTCTCCGATGGTGGAAACGACGTCGTCTTTTGGGTCGACTAATTCCACGCCGTCCCTTGCAAATTTGCCGCCGATAAAGGTACACGTGGAGGAGAATAATCAGAGGGTTGGAATTGAAGAGCAGTTTTCACAATTAGGGGTTGGAGGCAGCAAAGTGGATTCGTCTTCACCACCGGCGCCGTCTGCCCCGGTGGCCGGAGCTGGGTTTTCCGGTGTGCCAGTAGTGGTTGGTGGGGATTATGGGAGTCGGGTTTTTTCAGATGATGAGAGATCGGAACAGGGTGTTGGTTATAGGAATCTTGCTCTCACACAGACACAGCAGCAGCAACAGCTACAGCAGCAGCCTCAACAATTGCAGCAGCCAAGGCCTGTTGTTCCTTCTGATTTGCCTTCCCCCAATTCAGTTTCGAGGTAAAGTTATATAGCTATTTTTAATTTTTTTGAATTTTCCAACAAATGGTTATTGGAACATATCAGTTGCTTGAGAAATGTGTTGTGTATACGAGACTCTTGTTTGATAAAATGCTCAAATAGAGGGCTTACCTTGTGCACAAAGTGCTCTCTGGCTAGTGAGAGTTGTGGGTGAATGGAGGGGGAGTGACGGGCCAGAAATTCATACAAGAGGATTCTAAAAAATACTAATGTGTCACACCTGGGATTGAATATGTGATCTAAAGCAAATTTTGAATCTCCTTTGCCACTACACCTGAATCTTCCCTCATGTTACTCCTAAGTTCATGTGTAACCAAGAAAATTTGTTTATTTGTTTATAGCTCCGCCCGGGGGTTTGGGGGAGGGAATTGAGCTCATAACTCATAAGTATGAAGCTATCCCCTTTCATTTTGTAAAGTTACTGTTTTCACACCTTGCAAACTCCTGACGTACAGGTCACTAGAGGAACAGACTCTATGATTCTTTGTTAAGTGCTCAAATTGGTAATGAAAATTCTTTGAACTAGGTTCTGTCATTTTATTTGATGCAGTGAGAGCAGTTTGTCTGGGCAAAGGCATTTCTTTTATCAAGAACCAGGGGGTCAAATTCAGTCGGGGAACAATAGGGTTTCCGTCAATTCAGTTGATCCAAATAATAGGCCTCAGGTGCAACAGCAAGTCCAGGATGCTGGATATGCATTACCAGTCCAATATGATCAGCAGCAACAAATGTATCAACACCAACAATATGTCCATGCTGGTCAATATATCCAACATACCCCTTCTGGGCCTGTGCCGATGACGTCTTATTATCCTATATACCCTTCGCAGCAGCAAAATCATCCTCAGCATCCTGCTCTTGACCACCAATACCCAGTTTACTTCGTTCAATCTAGACCTTCACAAGCTTACAATTTGCCCATGCAACAAACAAATTATAGTGAGTCTGCTTCAACAATGCCTTCAAATCAACCCCAAACACCTCCCGCTCCTAATATGGCCACTCCTGCAGCAGCTTACAACCATGCTAGAAACCCTTCTGCCTCCAAACCTGAAATGAATGCTGGTGCATATAGAACAGCAGCTGCGGCAGCTCCACAATTGGTACAGATAACTTCTGGTCAGCATCAGCAGCAATATGTTGGCTACTCCCAGATTCACCATCCCTCTCAGTCAATTGCTCCTACATCCGCTGCTACTGCCAATTATGCATATGAATATTCTGATCCCACACATGCACAAATATACTACACTCAGTCTCATGCTCCCCAGTTTGCTGCTCAATACCAAACCATGGCATCATCCCCTGCTGTCGGTTTACCCAATACGTCTTCTCAGCTTCCCTCAGAAAAAAATCAAGCAACAAATTAGAACTTCACAAGCCATGAAAGGTGAGTTGCACATGAAGAAACAATTTTGTGGCTATGGGTTTGATTTATGTTTAAAGTTTCTGTTATAAATGCTTGAATTCTCATTGTTACTGGTTTGTCAAATGTATTTGTTATAGATATAAGACAACTGGGCGTTCATTTCTTTTCTTGTGCAATCCATGAAGTGATAGCTATCTGGATCATACTGTAAAAGCTTAAACTCATATGATATCTTCCCTGTTCTATATATATGAATTACGGAATAAATGTAATGTAGTGATTGAGGGATTTAATTCAGTTGTCTTAGATTTTTTCCCCCTCATTTGTGGTTTATTGAGCTGTGTGAACTAATTGCACACTGACCCCGCATCCCGTGCAATTTTTCTGTATTACTGTGACGTAGTAATCAAGAACACACATGGAAACGAACACTTACGATCTTTGCCTTGTGGAATAGAGTTTCATTCTTTTTGATGCTAGGATAGCTTTAAATTCAGAATATTGTGTGAATCAGCCCAAAATTTGTGTGTTACTTGATATATTAAGAAATGGTCTGGTTATCCTGTTGTTTCTTAGATCCAGAAACAACTTCATCCCTAGTTTTTATGGTATTTCTTGGGACATATTTTTAGATGTTTTGAATCTCGAACTAGCAATTTCACCAGTCCTTGAAAAAACTTGAATTCTTTTGATAAGGAATGAGGGTAACACTATTGTTCTTCATGACATATTTGTATTAAGTACAATTGTGTCACTTCATATAAAATAATTTTGTACAATCATTCTTAATTTGAAAAACTATAAACTATCCCTACAAGTAATCTGCTTATCTTCGAAAAATAAAAAAAATAAAAATTGATATAGTTATCAGAAAGTTTAATAACAGTTTAGCTGGTAATCATTCTTCACCTCTGTTTGTATTTGTGACCCTAAGATACGGATCCTGGCATAATGATAGTACTAAATGCCCCCTCCTGTCCTATTGGTGAAGATTTAGTTCATGAATGTTCTTGTTTCTTATTTAGAATGACAGCAAGAACTTTATTAGTGCAAAAAAGTTTCATCTAGTTTCGCATTTTCAGGTGTTTAAGTTGAGTCATCTGTGTGTGTGTGAGAGAGAGAACATAGTGCTTGCTGGCTCTCCACATGATATTTCCTAATAAAGAGTTGGTTTATTTACACAAACTTAGTTTCCTTGACTTCTGTTGGCAGTTTTTAAGGACCAGCCTTTCCATATTTAACTTGCAGCAAAAGTTATGATATGCTTTACTCTTGCTCTATTTGGCCCTTTCAGACTTGTTGGCCTAATTTGTGTTTCAAGTGGCATTTGCTTTATTCTACAACTTTAATCAACCTTCAAACGAAAATTTAAGTGCCATTATAGACGATGAAGAACTATAATATGACTTGTTATGAGTCTGGGATGCTTGCTTTTGCATGAGAGTCCTAGAAGCTTCTCTATCTGTCTTTGGCTGTACAATTTTAAACAGTAATTTATGTGGACAAACATATGATAAATAACTTTAAAACCTTCATTTTTTTGCAATTAATATGCGAAATGGTAGCAATATTTAGTGGATCATGTATATGTTTATCTAAGTTGCTCGGACACGGGTGCAGGTGTCCGACATGGGTGCGGATCTAGAGGTCGGATCCTTCAAGATATTAATTCTAAGATTCGGGAATACGGATCCTAGTACGATACGGGTGCAGGGATCCTGCTAAAAATAATTCAAAAAAATAAAAATATAAAATATCTCTAAATTATAAGAAATTTTATGGAATACTTACGTATAGCTGGTAAAGTATGAATTCTTTTTATTCTCAAGTTGTAGATAAGTAAAGGGTTGATTTCCTAGACAAGGTATGTTATTTTCTTCAAATTTACTCAAGTTTTGGTTCAGATTTCGGGAATCAAATTGTATCTCGTCTTTAATTTTTTCGCCCGTCGTGGTCAAAGTACCTAAAATTATTTGACCAGATCAGGTACGGATCACATACCTACACCCATACTAGTGTCGTGTCGACACGGGTGCGGCACCTAAATTGCCGTGTCGGAGCAACTTAGATGTCTATTTAACCATAATTGGCTGCATTTACTGTGTTCCTTTGGATTTTTATAAACACTACTACTAGTCTACCGCATTCCAGTGTGCGAGGTTCTCGTCTGTGACCGTACAAGCTTCTGTAATGGGAAATATAAAATATTTGATCACAGGCTCTCCCACTGCTGCTAACATAACTTATCCGTTTTATCTTATTATCTTGATGTTCATTCACTTTTGGTCATATTGTGCTTAAAGCGTATGTAAATTTGTCGAGGTTAGGGGCAATTAGCTGTTTTAGACGTGGATAATTAAATTTCCGAGTCATGTATTCATTGTCTTCTTGTTGAATACTTGCAATGCTACAGCGAGCAGAATATTCTTTGTCGTTTCTGCAAATTATATCATATTCTAAAGTCACTGAGAAACGGTTGCTGATTCCTTAACGCTTTGATGTCTTATTTTAAACTGCAATTATTAGTAACCTGACCTTAAGGTCTTGTTGATTCCTTATTGCTTTTACGACTTATTTTAAACTGCAATTATTAGAAATCTGACTTTAAGGTCTGATATGATTCTTTCAAGTAATCTTATCAGAGTTTGCATCTTGTTTCTAATGTAGGTTTCTAATCTACGTTAGGAAAAGTTTACAAAGTTATTAGTAGGAAATAGCGATCTTTTCTTCTTTTACTTTGCATCGGGTTAACTTGTTGAAGATTATGAGTGTTGGATTCGATCCTGAAAGAACAGGTGAGGAATCACTTTGGATTTTATACCCAAAACTTGGGTTAAAAATTGTCCTACTAAATGGCAATCCTACTTGGAATATCTATTATTTTGGTCTCGACCTCCATTGTTTCCTGACGAATAATGGCAGGCTGCTTGGTCTTTTCTCTCAATCAAAAGCCACATATAATTTTACTAAATAAGAAGAGTCATATGTTAATCATTTAATCCATATAATACTGTAAGAGCCAATTTACTAAATTTGGTATGATCACATTATTCCTTCCATCCCGTATTTCACGTTTTCTTTTCTAAAATGCAATGTATGCTCCTAATTTTAGGTCTCTTGGTCCTACAGTGCTGCCTTGATCCAATTTTGGTGCATTGACATCTACCTTGGACCCTACCCCCCCTCCCCCAACCCCCAACCCCCCCTAAAAAAAAAAATGGTTTTACGAAACTCAAATATGTGATATTTGATCAATATTTTATAATATCTTTTTAATCATATTGATATGAGAAGAATAACAACTTATATAATTTACTATATGTTTCGTATAATTTTTGAGTATCTAAATTCTGATTTTGAAATCTTGAGTTGATCTATTTCAATTTAACTTTGAAAATTAATTAAATTGACTCTCGAGAAGCAAAAAATGTTACATAAATTGGGTCGGAGGGAGTAGAAAAGAAAGTTCATCGGTGAGAAAAACCAGGAGGAAATTTAAAAATGAAGAAACACCGCTAGTCGGTGCTCTCTAGAAGTAGGATAACTGATGGAGTACTTGTTTATTTTTGGTATAAAATGGATAAGAAGAAATCAGTGTAGAGAGATGATACATGTCACCCTTATTTTTAGTTTAGAATTTAGAATTAAGGTGTACTTGTCACTTGATTGATTGATATTTTGGTAACTTTCATAGTCGCATCTTTCGTTGTTGTACTATACCACCTAGATTGTTGAGATTATTGATTAGAGTCAAATATAAATAAAAGCGGAAATACTTGGCCAGATTACTTAGTACTTTGGTAAATTGTACTGGATGTTTGACCAAAAAGGGTTGAGCTCTTTTGATTAAACCAATTAATAATGAAAAGAGGGTAAATCTTAGACAAATATAATCCACTCTAGAGCTAAGCACCATGAGTGTTGAATCCAAGTGACTGAATTTATATAACATATCTCAGATTGAATGGAAGACATTAAATGTAGATGATAAGCTTACAACTTCAACATATCGTTTCGTATTTGTAGAGATAAAGAGGATAAAGGATGATCCTTGTTGATAACTACGAGATCTAGCTTTATTGATTCAACAAAGGGGGTTGCACAGGTTTGTAATCCAGCACGTGAGCTTCTTCTTCTCCTTCTTGCCCCCGGAGATCTCTTCCACGTCGTCTTTGTCTTTCTTTTTCCTTTTCGGTCCCCCTTTTTCTTCTGCTTGGCCTTCCTTATATATATATAAAGGCCCTTAGCGAAATGTCGTTCGCCTTTTTTATCCTTTAATAATACCTTTTACAGCGGACAAACTTGTAATTTAAACTACTTTTCTAATATTTAGTACATTAAAATTAATTAAAATTTTACATATTAAATCTCTCCTTATTAAACTAGGTAAGAACTCCTAATATATAAATCTTACCTTTTATAAATTGTACTAATTGAAAATAATTCATTCGTGCAATCTTATAGAATCAAGAAAAGAACTTATACGTTCTCTTAAATGCTTTCTAATTAAATTGTAACATGGGGATATAAAATTGATTTAATACAGTAACATCTAAATTAAAATTATTTCAACGCAAATTAATTAAATATTTATTTTTAAAATTCTCATTTTTATCAACAACAACAAACCTAATATAACCTCATAAGTGGAGTTTGGGGATGGTAATGTATAAACATACCTTACTCATACCTGGTGAAAGTAGAGAAATTATTTTCGAAAGACCTTCACCTCAAAATTCTCATTTTAATCATACAAAATAACTAATCCAATTCAATTAAGAACCCAAGATAGTTATTTGATACCACATTTAATCATACTACATTATACAAGCCTAAATATATATTATAAAAGTAATATCTATACGAAATATTGATTGACTTTTTATCCTTTAAAAGTAAATTTCATATTAAAAATATAAGACAAATATTTAACTAATTTGTAAGAATTTAATATCAATTACAATTTTAATTATTAAATTATTTATTATTTGAAATATGTAAAAGCAGTGGCAAAGCTAGGGATTTTCCCAAGGGCGTTCAAATTTGAAAGAAGTAAAAAAATTTCCGACAAAGGATATTTAATATGGGTTATATACCTCTAAAACGTAATATTTTACCTATACATACACTGTAATTTTTTGATAAATGGTAGCCAATTGACCACCCTTATGACCATGTGGCTTCGCCCCTGTGTAAAAGATTAAAATATTTAGGATTTTAAAATAAATAATATATAAAAGAAATATTTAACTTAATATGTATGCACACACTGAGTGAATTCAATAACTTTCATAATA